AAAAGCTTGATTTAGCAATTATGAATAAAAACAAAATATTTAAACAACTAAAAAAGATGGCTTAGACTATGAGTAAGTCTAGAAAAACCAACTTGGTATTAAAATCATCAATGAATATGCACAATCCAAAAGAGCTTCGAAAGAGTTTACTGGCCAGTTTTCTGTAAAGTGAGTAATTTTGAATGCATACTTTATCTCTAACAGGTTCGGGTTTATTTGATAGGCCCTCCATAGCTGGAGCGGTTAATATCAAAAGATGACGCTTTGGCAGTAATTAAGGAAAAAGTTACGGTATACTCGAAATAGTTAACCTTTTGGAAAACATATTAACCAGAAGAACTTACTTCAAAGTATGTAAAAAGTGACTGTAAGGATTTTGGTAGTTTATGATTATGCCCGTCTTATACTACAATCACAGAGCGTCTAACGAAACATCAGCGAGGACCTCTGCTTCTGAAAGGGAGAAAGTTGAGGTCTAAAGCTAAAAAGGGTTATCAGTCGAATATCTCATAGTACAAACTGATAGAAGAGGTATTTAAAGATCTTTTCTTCTTAAAGGGAACAATTCTCAAGTGGAATTGCCAATGATCTCCAAGGCTCACCTCGTCTCGTTCGGTCTTCTCCTTGTGGTCGTCTTGGCACAATGAGGTGCCCAATCGCTGAAGCGCGATACATATACCTGTCACAGAAAACCGGTAGGTTCTTTTATAGTACGAAAATTTTAGATTTTATTTTGTTTTATCTAATCTTTTACATTTTCCATATAACTTTGTTTATCAGTATTTATTAGGCTGGCTAATAAGTCCTGGCGGACTTGCTGGGAGTTGATCTCAAACTTAACCAATCTTAACGAGTTTGGTCTTGTTCGAAAGCTGTATTCAATAGGAACCCAGTAGTGAAAACCACTTGTTTCGTTTCGTTTTACAATTTTGTATTTGTATCTTGTACATTTGTAAAAAGATTTGCCAGGTATTTGAAAATTATTGTAGGTGTTTGCCTCTCTTTTTTTATTTCAAAAGACCCAAGAAATAAGAAAAAAAATAAATGAACACTCTCCGAGTGTCTTCCTCGTTGGCTTTTGCTTTTCTTTGACCCATTCTTTTTCATGACCCCGACTGACTTTCAGACCCCAACTGCTTTTCCTTTTCGACTTCATCCTGCAACTTTTAACATTGTTGTTCACTAGGTATAGTGATAGCAGATGAGGTAACACAATATTGTCATTTACTACCGTAACCTTCGTCGGAGATTTGTTCACCAATATGTGACTACAGCTGCCGGGGGGTAAAAATTGCTAGAGTTGCACTTAGCCTGAAAAAGTGTTTAAGATCAAAAAGATTGAGTTTTTCATTTCTTCAATAACTAACAAAAATGCTAACTAGTATCAAAGATCAAAGACTCGAAACATTTTTTCCAAAGTTAGCGCCCCAACCTAGTTTTGCGTGTTTTCCATGCACGCGTTTGCCAGAAGTCATTTATTTAGACATCAAATGATATTTACAAGTATATTCATAAAAATAATTTAAACTTGTGGTAAAAATCAATCGAAAATGCCTTTCTTGCCGGCTCTCGGCTTCTCCTCGTTGACCGATTGTTCGACGCCGGAATGGGGTTTTTCTCGCTGAAAACCGATGGATTTATTGGATTTGAATTTGTTTTAGTATTCCAATAATAATATTTGCAAGCTAACCGCTAATTTTTTTATGTGGAGGAAAGTGGTGTTACCTAATAACCGTAAAAGCTCTAATCGAAGAATCGGCTCTTCTATTTTTCAACACCTCCAAAGCGGTTGGTCGAAAAAGTAGATAAAGGAGGACCATATAGATCGATTATTTTTGCTCAAAATCGATTTTAAACAATAACTCTTGGTTTAAAACGTATGAAAAACGTGTTTAAAGGTAAAAGACCCACCCGAGGCCACCAACTGATCTCCCGAAAAAATCAATGTGGTCCCCTCTTACCACTTTTGTCGAAAAAGTATTTTTTCTTTTTTTTTTTGAAAATCAAGTTTCCAATTTTATTGCCAATGCTAGAATAGTAAATTTTAGGTTTAGATCTATCAAAAGAACCTCCACAAAGGGGGGGCACATCCGCGCGAAATGGTGTTCTCTATCAGAATTTCACGTTTGAATATCCATTCGACGCAGAAAATTGTGCTGAATTGAATGGTGAAGAAATTATCGAAATCCGTCTGACTCGATTTTTTAAAATCGCCTTTTATCGAAAAAACCGCACTTTTACAATGAACTCGCTCGCCGCGATCAACTTTCGGTGGCTCGTTCTCAGCGTGGCCGAAAGATTGCGCCCTCAAAACCGATAACTTTTGTGTGGACGGGTGCAAAGATCATTTTGATACCAAAAAATAAGAATTGATCAACTCTGCAAAGACTTGATGCCTTTTTGGTTAAATGGGTGAATCCGGGACACGCCCAAAATGCGATTGTTTGCTTTGTTTTATCTTCCTAAGCTTTGTTTTAGCTCCCTAAGCATGTAAAACTAAAAATTAGTTGCCGGAAAACGATTTATAAGCTATCAACATGTACCCAAAATTTTACTACCCACAACGCCTACAAACAACTAAGCCAGAATCAGTAACTGATTTGCTAATTAATTTTCTTTCTGTGCTAATGGCGCGGAAAAAATGGCGGATCCGAGACACGCCCAGAAGGCATTTTCTGCTTTGTTTTAACTTTAATAAACCTCCCTAAGCATGTAAAACTAAAAACACGCCCCAGATTGTCCACGTTTTAGCGGGCAGAATGTCAAAAAAACGTCATTTTCACCTTAAAAGGCATCAAGTCTTTGCAGAGTTGATCAATTCTTATTTTTTTGGTATCAAAATGATCTTTGCACACGTCCACACAAAAGTTATCGGTTTTGAGGGCGCAATCTTTCGACCACGCTGAGAACGAGCCACCGAAAGTTGATCGCGGCGAGCGAGTTCATTGTAAAAGTGCGGTTTTTTCGATAAAAGGCGATTTTAAAAAATCGAGTCAGACGGATTTCGATAATTTCTTCACCATTCGATTCAGCACAATTTTCTGCGTCGAATGGATATTCAAACGTGAAATTCTGATAGAGAACGTTTTTTTGCCTTATTTCGCGCGGATGTGGGGGGGGGGGGGGTCTAAAGTTAATATTTCGAGGGGCTCTACTATTGGAGAGGGCTCTTCTAATACAGGGTAGCTGAAAAGTTCTGTCCGCATTAATAGACGAAAATTTGAGACACTTTAGGCTTTTACAAGTATCATTACAGAGACAAATTTACTAATGCGGACAGAACTTTTCAGCCACCTTGTAGAGAGGGCTCTTCTATTAGAGTTTTTACGATATTTATAATCAAAATACGTCTATATTGAAATAGCACATAAAGAAACTTACCAAAGGTTTGGCTGGAGGCGAACGATCTTTCCCACTCTCGGCGCTCTCACTCAGCTGGAATCTCAATTTCATTCGAAGCTTTGCAAATGTAACTATTCTTTTGCATTAGCTTTAGAATTAGTCTATTTATCTAAACCATAAACAACCATTTACAATTTTGAGTAGACTTGCTTTGTTTGCTGCTTTGTTTTTCAGCAACAAAGCTAATTTTGATTTAGACTAACTAAGCATGGAAAATAATATTCTCGCACAAAATAGCTAAAGCAAATTAGCTTGATTAGCTCTAGCTAAAGCAAAAATAGCTTGATTGGATGTAACTTATTTCGAACTTTGTAACTTCGAACTAGAAATAATAAAGTTAAAAAATTGCCCTGACACCCACTATCTTCTTACTTGTTTACTGCCAAATGAGTTGAGATTAGAAACCAAATTTTGGCTACTATAAATGCGGCTTAATATTTGTTTTATAAAAGCAATATTTTTGAGATATTTAGCTATCTCAATTGTCATTGTCAATCTAGTTGTCAATCTAGCTAATTGTAAGGGTTTTCTTCAAAGAACCAACCCGTCTCGGGAGATCCCTCAACTCGTCCGGGTCCATGTCAATGTAGTTGGTCATATCGCTGTCCATTGTTGCTCAGAAGATTGACAGATTGAATAAAAGAATGCAAATGTTAGGAATTCCTGTGTTTTTCCGGGGGCTTTTGTAGAGGTTGGCGGCACAACGATCGACCCGTGTGATCCCCGTTGTTTTCGAGATCCCTCACCGACCAGTCAAAACACGTCCCCATCCCCCCTTTGCGGGGCGAACTTTTGCGTAAACAGCCTCGTGTTTTACTCCTTTTTTTCTCCTAAATGGAGAGTTTCCAAAGCATTATTTCGCCTTTCTCTCTGAACGGGAAAAACAGTTGCCCACTACAGCTGAGGCTATTTTCGAGAGGCCGAATGAAATGAAAAATGAAAAAAGAATGAAATAACAAAGTCGCTACAAAGGAACTCTCCATCTCAAAGATCAACTGTACTTCTAAGTCCTGCTTTCTCCAAAATTTTCCGAGAATCTTAGGGAATTGATTATACAAATTCAATTTAGTTCTGAGATAAATTATTGGGTTGGTGAATTGAAAACTGCCGACTAATGTCATATGTCACAGTTTGAGCACTTTCTTCAAAAGAAACCCATTTTGGTGTCAATGGAAAAGTTGTAGAGAATCAAAAATTAAGCTTATATCCAAATTTTCAGAACGATTCAAAAACCGGTTTTCAAGAAATGCGAAATTTACGAATTTTCACCAAACTTGCATTTTAAGCGGAACTATTAAGTATATCTTTTTGGAAATTTGGCTATAAGCCTAATTTTTGATTCTCTACAACTTTTCTATTGACACCAAAATGGGTTTCCTTTGAAGAAAGTGCTCAAACTGGGACATCTCCAGTCCTCCATTTTTGAGTCTCACACTTGTCTCACACACAAACCAAAATCCTACTACGAAAGTGGAATCCGCAAATTGCCTGTAAAGTGGGCAGAAGTCGTCAATAATAATGGAAATTATTTCGAATGAATTCATGGTTTTATGTTGAATAAATTTTAGTTCAAAGTCCGGCAGTTTTCAATTCACCAACCCAATAGATAGTTATAAATCCTCAGACTTCTGATATTTTGACCTCCCAAAATGAGTTTTTTTTGGTGCTACCTTAATGAATATAGGATATACAAAAAGAAGGCATTGAGCTACACAAAACCATCTGAAACAATTCTTTGCTATTTTTCTTATCAATTTCCCAAATTGTTAATCCCTCTGACCCCATCTCACCTTCTGGGATTACCTCTCTGGGATTTCCAAAGGATTACCTCTCTACGTCACAAAAAACACGGAAAAACAGTTGCCCACTATAGCTCCCATCTATTTTAGGTACAAAAAATAATGGGTAATAACAAGCCGCCACAATAGAACCCTCTCGCCTCTCAAAGATCAACTTTAAGTTGTTTGAGCCATCATCTCTTGAAAAAAGCTTTAGGATCAACTTGTTTGTGGGGTTACACAATCCAGACTGAGTGTATCCCGATGCTAAAAAAGTTGCTAACAACTACCATAACTTAGAAAATCTTGCAGATATACAAAATAAACCCATGAATGAGCAGTTTGAGTGAGATTAGAAGAAAGGATACGATGGTTATCGAAATTACTGTTTGAAAGGAACACATTCTAAGCCGTACTGACTGTGTCCTCACATTCTCATTTCATCGACTCTTGTCATGTTTGTTAAATTTTTTGTTTATTATGACATTCATATTATTTGTTGCTGAACACTTAAATAGAAAGTTTTGAAAAATTTTTTGAATATTTAGCAATTACGAAGAGAAGAGGGATTAGGGAACACTATAAAACAGCTGTTTAAAAAAAACTTAAAGGGAGTCGAATCCTCGACCTACAGCTTTGCATTCCGACACGCTATCCGCTACACTACGCAACCATTATTTTTGTCGCGCACGCAAGCGTTATAGGAGAGGTCAAAAACTTGTTTACCCAATTCCTTGCGATTCCGACCTATTTAGTAAAACTTTCATTTTTTCATTTCATGTTCATTTCATGTTCATTTTTTTCTTTATTTATAAAATATTATTTGAAGCCTGCAAAATCGTATTTTTGTAACATACCTACGCTTATAAAAAGTCTTACATTCACAAGAATTTGCATTTTCGTGAACATTTTTCTTAGACATTATAATTTTTTAAAGGTTTGGATGATAGTCTTTGAAGTTTAAAGTTTAAGAAGAAAACTGTAAACAAAAAAACACCCGTTGAGTTTTTTTTAGAACATATCAGGTTGGCAACTAAATAATGGCCCTTTTCAGTAAAAACAAAAAATTTATTAACAAGATGAACAAATATCAACATCAATCCAAAAGGTATTCTCCGTCATTCTTTATTACTTCTTTCCACTTTTGACGGAGCAACTGGATTCCTCTCTTGAAAAATTCTTCTGGTTGATCGTCAAAGAACTTCTGCACTGAAATTCGGACTTCGTCAAGGTCATTGAACTTTTTCTCGGCTAGAAAGTGTTGCATCGATCGAAAAAGATGGTAATCACTAGGCCCCATATCCGGGCTGTATGGCGCATGAGGAAGAACATTCCAGCCCAACTCCTCGATTTTCTCCATTGTAAGTTTTGCAGTGTGTGGTTTTGCGTTATCATGGAGAAAATGAATTGAAGAGCGTTCGAGTCCTTGAGAGCGAATTGCTTGATCTACACGATGTAGTTGAGACGAATAGAGTTCTGAATTAACCGTTTGCCGGCTTTTGAGAACCTCGAAATGCACCAACCCACGAGAACTCCACCACACACAGAGGAGAGTTTTCTTTGAGTGAATATCCGGCTTCGGAGTTGGTTTTGGGTCTTCGTTTGTGCTAAGCCACTGTCGTTTTCGCGTTCGATTATCATAAAAGATCCATTTTTCATCAGAAGTGACAATGGAATCCAAGAAGCTTCCCTTTTTCGCAAGTTTTAGTAGTATTCCAGCTGTGATAACACGAGTAGCCTTATTTTCTTCGCTCAATTCATGCGGAATCCACTTTCCACTGCGGTTACTTTTCCCCAATGCATGAAGTCGCTTTTCGATTGCAGTATGCGAAAAGCCCAATCGATCCCCTAGCTCGCGTGATGTTTGACTTGGATCCTCCTTTAAAGCTGCTTCCAAAATATCGTTCTGCAGAAGTTTGGGTCGTCCTTGGTGAGGCTCATCTTCAAGACTTTCATCCGCTTCCTTGAACCGTCGATCCCATCTCTTACATTGTGTTTCGGAAAGAGCTTCATCACCAAAAACTTGCAATAAATCTCTGTGGGATTCGGCAGCTGTTTCGTCTTGTTTGTAGTCGTACCAGAGACAGACACGCATTCGATATTTGAGACCTTCCATTTCTAAACAAAATTATTTGAAAAGTATCAAATCAAGGAAAGTAAAAAACGTATAATAATGCACCAGAAATTCAGTAATATTCAATTAACAACAAGCGAGGGTAGATTAAACGCAAAGATTAAAAGATTTTATCAAAAAAGGGCGAGGGCCATTATTTAGTTGCCAACCTAATATAAATAGGATTATTTATATGTTCTGAAGGCTATAAAATTGATCTATGTGCTCTACAGGAGACAAAAAGTTAGCAGGCAACAAAGCCACAGAAGGCTAAAAAGTCTTGTATGCTAGCAATCCAAAAACAAAAAGCTTTGTAGCATTGCTATTGGAGGAAAGCCACTTTTTGATGGTTACTTTGGCATCCATTGAACAAAAAAGAGATCTCATAACCTCTATTTTTTTCCTAGCTTGTACTTGAAAAGTTTATTGTAGTAAAGCTTCCCTTCCCTATCTTCAACTCCATTTTTTACTGTTTACAAAGGATAAAAGTCAAATAGCTAAGTAGTCTTTTAGTTTATTTCATAAATATCTAAGCATTTTGTGTCGTGTTTTATATCAGTTGCCATCAAATGAGATCAAAAACCTTTATTCTATCTTGTACTTCCAAATTTATAACAGTTTCTTATCCCCATCCATATCTCGTAATAGTGTAGTATGGATAGGTGGTCTCTCTTGTGTACGGAGTGTATTTTGTCGTCTGGGAATAGTAATAGGATTGAAGCATGGCGGTTGTGGGTAGATTGTTGGCACATGGAGCATAGGTTTTCGTCTTTTGATGATGCTGGAAGTAGCCGGTGTTCGAGCAGTGACATTGGTAGTAGGGATAGCCCCATTGGTCGATCCCCAGATAGTTGATCACTGAAAATGAAAAGGTTGTATCAAAGCTAAAAACATTTTTATTTTACAAAATTTTTTACAGCTAAACTGTTTCTTGCAATTTTTGCTACCCAATACCAAATTTTGACAGTGTACACACCAAGAAGAAATGAACGGTTTTTGTTCATTTGATTGGGTATTCATAAAAGCCGTAACCTTTTTAAAATCCAGCTTTCGTTCTCGTTAGTCAAAAAACTCTATTAAAAACCACAAAATGGAAAATTTTCTGATGTCAACTTTAAAACAACAAATATTTTGCAAAGGTTTAGTGTTTTACAAGTTTGTAGATAAACTAACTATCTTGCAAAACTACCTAACAAATTTCAGTTTAGCTTCAAGAATTTTAATAATTTAAACAAATTTAAGAATTTTATAAAGAAAGTTGAAGAAGATATTTCAACCGATTTATTCAGATAAAAAACTTGCAATTCATAGTCTGCAAAAACGATTGCAAGTTAGCTTATTGACGTAGATTCTCAAGTTTTCAATTATTGATTGTAATAATTTTTCTATTTTTATTTATTTATTATAAACTGTTGATACTAAATACAGGGTTGGGCAAAATTACCCGGACAAGAAACTTGTTTGATTCTTATTCGTCAACCGTTCCATAAAACTCCTATAATTCTATTTTTTTTATTTTTCTATAAACTCTTAGTTATCTTTAAAAAATTAGTCACACTTTTCCAGTCTTAATGTTGTTTTTCCTACAGTTTTTCAGAAGCCAGAAGGCGCTGAAAAGGGAAAAATGAAGCTCCGAGCCAGCATCAATTTTACCCGATGCTTTGTGGTTCGAAAGAAAAGTCGGTCGACGGATTTTCCTTTTCAGTAATGTCCAAATAG